TCTCTCTCTCTCTCTCTCTCTCTCTCTCTCTCTCTCTCTGTGTGTGTGTGTGTGTGTGTGTGTGAGTGTGTGTGTGTGTGTGTGTGTGTGTGTGTGAGAAACTGGAGTGGAGGAGTATCATGTTCATCCGATTTCATCACGTTTTGAGCTCGTGATCTGCTTGCTGACAGTAACAGCCAAATGACGGATTTATAAATTTATATCTCTCTTTCACTCCTCTTTTTTCTTTAATTTGGACCATTTCTTGATTCATGTGTGTCATTTTCCTCTTGCACAGGGGCCATGCTAATCTTCTCTGTATCGTTGCTATCTTAACGGATGTCCCAAAGGACCCATCTCTTTTGCTCCTATGTTTGGAACCCTCTCATTTTCTATGAGAGAGAAATTAGAATGGAGTTGAAGACAAAAGAAATCAAACTGGGTTAAAGCATCAGTACATGGGCACCTGGGCCGCGGACCGGACACCTCGAAATCTGGAAGCGCGAAACGAAAATGTGACCGCTGATCCAATTTTTCAACGGCATGCCCAGCGTTTGACGTTTCGGCCTCGTTTTCTTGTGGCGACAAGTTTTGGACTGCAAGGCTGGGCCGTGTGTGCGAGTTACGCTCTCGGTGTTGACTGGTTTGCTCTTTTTGTTCAGCTCTGATTCTCGTGACAGAGATTAGTAGAATTGGCAGAGAGGGGGGACTCTATTTTTTGTTCGGACTCTTCACGTGACAGGATTTCATACAGTCAGTCCCCGAAGTCCCAGTCCCAAGGTCCCAGTCGGTCACGGTCCCAGGATGTCCTGGTAGGGTAGGTCTTAGGGCCGTAAGTTGAAGCGTCGTAGTTCGGTAACTGTCGGGTACTGAAACTTCGCGGTCCGGTAAAAGTCGGCCGGTACCTGCAGAGGAAGTCACGTCCCAAGTCCAAATTTGCAGCAGCGTCCCAAGAAAGTCTGGAGACTTCCGGAAACACCAATTTTGGCAAGGCAGAGGTCGCTGGCGACCAGTACCGGTCCAAAGCAGGCAAGAACAGTCTACTGCAACTATATTTAGCTGCTACAGTGTCAAGCCAGTCACTTGTTCATTCGCAAGGTTGCCGAAGCACTGCTAGTTTTGCTTGTGCGATAACGCGACCTGGACGGAGGACAAGTGCCGGGGGAAGAAGCAAGCGCCCTGGCTAAGAGAGTCAGCCATAGCTAGAGTAGCAGAGAGGAGGAAAGGTTGATGAGCTATATCACAGGTGTATTCAGGGTTAGATCCCAGGGAGAGAGAGAGAGAGCTTGAGCAATAGGAAAC